GCCATTCGTAGTTAGAAGCCTATAGGGCTCTTTTAATGTTTAATTTGGGTGATTCCAAATATTAATCCATAAATTAATCTCGGCACAAATGGATAGAGTACGGGTTATTATGTTAGTTACTCCAAATTTTAATTACCAATTGTCACAAAAGTGACCCAAAATATAGTGATCATTTTTTTTTTACTACCCTATTGATAATTTTTCTTTATAATATCACATGTACCCAATAAACTTTATAGTCTAGCAGTTCGAAGATAGCATAGTGATAATCCAATGATGATGTGATCAAGTTATGAAAAACATTTATATTAATTTATCCAAAACTGGATCCATTACTAATTGTCTGCTTAACTAAAACTTGCGTGCTAGCACGATGTTGAACATTAGGATCGAGATCAAACATCATTAATTCCTACCCAAAATAAAATAAGAACATGCTTAGTTACTCACTCGATTAATTTAGTGGACCAATTATTACGTGCTAGATCGATATATATATATATATTATCCATGGTATTTAACTAATTCACAGCGTTATTAATTAGTCAAATGGTGCCCTAGCTGTACGTGTATGGTTTATCCTAAAATTTATTTGGTCTGCTGTTAGTGGACTCTGCGCGGCTCCGAAAGGCAAAACGCACTTAGAAAATGGCACACCGCCATTTCGTGGCTATATAGTTAGTATATTGCTGGCGTTTGTTGCCCATTCTCAAGGGCTCCTGTCCCATCTCTTAAAAGAAAGAAATTTCCATTACAAAAAAAAAAAAAAAAGAGAGGAAGTTGTAGGGTAAGTTAACAAGAGATAATCCTAATCTAATCAAATTTTAAGGTTGTAATGGTTAGTTGAGGAGTTTCCTACAATGTATCCAAGTGTACATGCAGTATGAGTTCGTTAATAAACAAAATGTTGCTATGCCTATACATGTACGCTGGAGCACTCCACAAAATTCAATCTCGTTATTTTGCTTATAGGAAGCAATTGGTGCCTCTTAATTTTTAGATGAACTTTACTAGTCGGCCTGGTAATAATGTGGGGATGATAAAATTCTCCTCACTACAAGTTCAAAGCTCAGAGATAGATAGTAGTAATCACGCTCTAATCCAAAATATTATCTTAGTTCACCTTGACTTCGAGCATTCTCAATAATTATTAAATCTTTGATGCCATAAAAAGAAGAAAAAACACATTTCATCGGTTTGATTAATGACTGAAAACAGATATGAGAACACCCCAACGATATTAACTCTTCTTAATTCCTCTCACATAATATTCTGGTTCCTGCAAATCAATGGAAGATTAGTTTTTAACTTGGACCAACCCTACTTAGTTTTTGGTTTCACGTTTCCTCTAAGCATTCAATGAGAATATGAGTGATTAATCGGTTGGGTTGATGCGTGTGGTTTAAGAATTATGATCTGGAAAACATCCTCTAATCTTCTTTTAATTTTTATTCTTGTGATGAATTAATAATATCAATATCCTTTTGGTGAGTTATTATTGTTTAATAATAATAATTCATTTTCGAAAGAGAACAAATGTTTTGCGGCTTCGTAACTGTTACCCCCGTGGATGCTTCAAGTCGCAATATTCTTTAGACCATTTAGCACGCAAAGTACCATTGGCCCCTTATTCTTTTTTTTGGGTTATGGGTTATGAATTCAATATTTTAGTAAATCATATTTCTGACTATAATTTTAATTAATTATTATCATATTAATCACCAAGAAATGTAGTGTAGTGACACGTTTTAACTCCAGGGCACTAAGCTAAGGTCGATGGTGACTTCAATTTTTCAAGTAGTGGGCACCTTAGCTAAGTACGTCAAAGCATATCATGATTAGTGTGGGGAGGTTTTCAGTCTTTATCCTTTGATGATCATCTTTTTTCATGACTTTTACCTTATGTGACTATGACACTGAACTACTTAGAAATTGTGGGAGGGAAGAGATAACAATTGTTGATGGAATAGATCGGTAGATTAACTCGCACGTAGTTCAAAATTTATATTTTTCATTTTTTATAATCTTGAATTTCTTTGGAATGAAATCATGATTACACGGGGGATTCTGAACACTCATGAACAACCACAGTTTTTTTTTTTTACTTGTTTGGACTTTGGTCCTCCTAGCTTTCTACTACATGGTATAGATAATGTATCAATCACTGATTAGTTTGCAAAAAGTAGAAATATAAGCCGTTCAAAATAACACGTGGGATTTCATATAATTTTCAACTATGAGATATCGATATTCATGTTTGACATAATCATTTGAAGTTATGAAAGTACCTAAATTGTGATACTTCAATTGGACTTAAACAATCTTCTTTATTCGTAAAATAAGGGGATCTCGAGGAAGATTTGAGTCCACGTTTTCATCACAGTATTTGCTAATAATATATTCCAATTAACAAGAAAGGGTATTACCATTTACTCATTTAGTAACAAATAGATAAATACAAAACATAACTCTGATCTCCAGTTTGTTTTGAACGATCGCTAAAATACATTGCATTGCATCCATTTATAAAAGGAACATATAAACGGTAGGGAGGGAAAATTTGAAAATGGAACAAAGTTTGAATGATTAGTCTAACTTAATCCAAATCATGTAACAACCTTGCCTTGTTTCTTTATCCATTTTATTTTTTTAATTCAATTTATCCATTTGATTATTGTTGAATGTCCCAGCTTGTCTGATCATCAATTATTTTTGGGCCTCCCCTAAAATTACATGTCAAAGATATTCATTCTCAGAGATTTATCAAAGACTCATAAAAAAATATGGAATTCATTTTGAACGTATTCGATCTTGCTGTCGTGACGAAATTTTTTTGAATCAAAGAAGAGTTTGAGTTGTCTAATTATGTACACTCTTTTAGCATTAAAATAGAAAGAAAGAAAATCTATTTAATTGGAACTTTCGGTCCAATTGTTTACTATTGTTTCAATCTATCTATATATTATATGGCACCCAAAGTCCTAACCGTCTCCTAATCCATTTTTCTTAAAATAGCATGGTTTGATCGTGTTTACTAAAAGACTTTTAAGATTAACTTGTTCATGACCGAGTGCAAGAGGTTTCAATCTTTCAGATCCTTTTCATATTTCCCTTTGCTCGTATTATATTATGTCAAAATTGAAGTGGATTTTAGGTATCAATAAAAGAAAGTGAAGGGGAACTTTTCATAGGAGTAGTTGGGTGAGGAAAAGTGTGTGTGATTGGTATTAAGATATGAGAATTCACAAATTAAGTAAGTTTCTCACTCTTTTTTAATCCAATAAGGAGACAGAGGGTAATAAAAGATTTTACAAATCGCCCGATTAGTTTTTTCGTGTGTGTTCATACCTTACGTAGTAGAGATTGGATATTAATCGCGAAGTTAGCATAACCAATAGAGGATGTCAATCACAACAAATATCTAAGTAGAACTGTACCAAAATTGGTAGCTTGTGTAGACGAAAGCGATGATATAACAGAAGGGGCATTGACTTCTTCAACAAACTTCGATGAAGTTTTACTTTAATGATCCAACCGAGTCCATGAACAAATGGGGATACTAAGGATAATGCAAAACAACATAACTATTAATTTTAAGTTGCCGGTTTTCTGTTCATGATACATGATGTGAATGCTATTTTTTCCCATTGAATTAAACGATATTTTTCAATGCAATGACAATATGTATATATAATATATTTTATGGTCTTAACAAAAAGGATATCGTTTCTCGCAAAAAAAAAAATCACGATATTATAATTTTCATAAACACATCCTTATGAGATGTTTTCTGTCTATTCTAGCGACTCATCGTTGAAATTTCTTTTATCTATACTTCCCAACAACTCACATGTCATACAAGTTGAAAAACTCACATTTCGTTTTTACAATATATCCATAATTTTTGTTAGAATCTAAATAAATAGCCCCCAAGAGAGCTGACTTAGAACAATATTAGACCTTCAACACAACAATGGCAGTGAATGAAATTGACACTTCACCACCTCTTCTATTTAAATTATAATCATCCTAACCTCTCTCTTTTTTATTTATTAAATATACAATTCGAGTAAGCTTTTTAGTTATAATTAAATCAGATAAAAACAACTCAATCAGCACGTGAACACCAATAGCAATCAAACACGTCATAAAACCCAACAACTCAGCCACCCTCTCTCCCTATATATAAATACCCATTTCTCCCCCATAATCCCATTTCACATCTGGCAGTCTGAAACCCCCCCTTATTAAAAATTTATTTTATAAAAAAAGAATTAGAAATTAAAAAAAAAAAACAGTATCTAATCTCCCAATTTATTTTGTTTCTTCAACAAACAAATCAAAATCCTCCATATTTTTCTAACGTTAAACCTCCATTTCACCCAATTCCCTCACTTCCATCCCATCTTCTTCCTCCCTTCCTTCCTTCCTTCTTCTTCTCTCTCTCGCTGGAGAAATCAAGCAGAAGCAGCTGCTGCAGCAACACGACAAAGGACAGACGGCATTCACTGGTAGTCCGTTCCTCCTGCGGAAAAGACACCACTTAGTATTCTTGTCCAAAGATTTGAACTTTGAAGAACCCAGAAAACTCCATCCGCAAAATCAAAGGTGGGTATCACTTCACTTCTCAATTTCAATCATCTAACCTCATCCTCTCAAAATTTTGGTTCATGATTTGGAGGTGGGTACCACTCTCAGTTACCCAGTTTCAATTAGTTTTTCTGCTCTGTTTTTTTTTCTTCATTTCTTCTCTTTGAATGTTTGCATTGTTTTCTGTTTCATTTCTGTTTCTTCGTCTATATCAGAGGGGCAATTAAAAATTGTTCAGAAGAGGCGGCAAAGAAGGAGGTGGTAGAAGAAGAAAAGACTGGAACTTGGCTTTTGGGTTTGTGGAAAGCAGAGCAGAGCAGGGCGGTTTGGTTTTTCCACACTAACTCTCCCTCCCTGGCTCTCTGCTTTCTCTCCACGTTGGTTGCATCGTTTACTTTCCCGAGAAAGTGATGGAAATTGCGGAAAATCCAAAGATGGTGAGTACATTGGTTCCAGCGTAGTGATTTGTTTTTTGTTTACTAATAAGGACTTTGATTTCCCCGTTACTCTGTTTCTGTTTCTGCCGTTTGTCTCGCCGAACTGTTCCATTGTTGTCTTCTTGTTCAGTTTCCGCAATTTTCAATTTTCCCCCAATTTTCAATTCTTTTCTAAACTGTTTGATCCTTCCTCACTGTTCATTTGCCCCCTGTTTCTCAACTAAATTGATTCTTCCTCTTCTTGTTTGTTGGAGGGTTACTACTTACTAGGAAAATTTCCCATTCTTCTGTTGTGATTTTTAGGATTTTATTGGATTGCAAGAAAATATGGCGACCACCACCACCGCCCAGAAAATCTCAGTCGTTGATCACATCAACGGATTCCAATACGCTCCCGAAAGATCCGATAACTTTGTTATCGACATGGAAGAAAGCTACTCCAATCCCAGAATCACAGTAAGTACTATCTCCAAACCAAAAATACAAGATAGAATCCCCCAATTGATTCGATTCCAGCCCGTCTCTGTTTTCCCCCTTTCATTTCCCCTGTTTTTCTTTTCCGGTAAAGTTGCTACCTTTTCCCTTCATTTTTTAATGGGTTTCCGCCCGCCATTACTGTCTGAAACATTCCTTTCTATCTCAAAAAAGTTGCAGAGGAGCCTTTCCAGAAAAGGGTCCTTTCGTGGCGGCGGGCATGGAGGGATCGAGAAGAAGGTCAATACCATTACCAATGGCTCTGTTTCACAAGAGAAGGAACCCGCGGTTGCAGCGGTGACTTCCCCCGGAGGTAACTCGATTTCCCCTTTTGCGCAATTTTACTTTTTGTTTCTGGGTTAAGAAGAGAAAAGAACACTTGAATCAGTATCACAGAATTCAGGAAAGGGACTGCGAGTAAATTTAGACGGTTCAGTAGTGATAACCCATCAGAGGACAAGAGTGTGAAAGAAAGGATAGAGTTAGAGGGCAGGTTTGTTTCAGTAATGTAAGGGTATGGCCACTGTTGGTTTGGTTCCATTATAAAGCTCGAAAGAGACGGCGGAAGATTGATGGAGATGGAAGAAGGTGAGGAAGAAGGAAGAAGAAGGCTACGCTACCAAACAATGGCCGGAATTGAAACTTTATGACTGAAGCAAACGAGAATCATATGCCTGATTACCAGAGCCAGACAAATTTCTAACTAGGGACCAAAACCCTTAACTGAGTGAGAGGGACACCCATTTTTGTTCCATGGACCCCTCCCTTCTCTTCTCCAGATTACACACAAACTCGTCACCTCTCGGTTTGTGAAAGCATCCGAAGAAGATATCGGCGAGCAACGGCTCGATTCGTACCAGATCGGATTAACTTGTCGGATCAGTTCCATTTCGATTCGACTGTCACGTCGGACTGAATGTGGGTTTCAGTCTTACTCCGATCCTCATCACATTCATGAATCTTGTTTGCATAAAGTGAGCCTATTGATAGTTGTTGAACATGATTCAGCCTGCCCACCATTTGTCAGGGTTAGGTTTTTCTAGTGGTTAAACATCAGATGGTTGAAAGTGAAATCCCACCAAACGATTTGGTCAACAAACCGTAAAAACAGAGCAACCCAAAAAAGTACACACACCCAAGTGGGATTTTTTGTTTTTATGGTTAGATTTAGCAGACAACAAGGTACAGTAAAGAGCTCTTTTTGGGTTGCTGACTCTAGTTTTTCACCAGACAAGATGGATGGATGGTACAGAGAATCCAATCCATTTTGTTTTCACTCATTTCTCTTCGTTGTTTCACTTTGTACTGAAATGGGGTCTGTTGTCATTATTAACCAGTTGGGCCAGGGGAAGGAGAAGGAGGAGAAAGAGGTTTGCTGGTAGGGAGTAGCACGCCGGAAAAGGGAATGGTGGAGGGACAGGGGCATCATCAGATCACTATTACCTCTGCCGCCGGCAGCATCAAAGCCACCACCGCTGTCGAAGGACGATCCACGATGAGAAGGAACAGTTTCAAGCGGCATCAGAATTCATGGCTGCTTGATCCCAGAAAAGTCCTCTTCTTCTTTGCCACCTTGTGAGTCCCTCTCTCTCTCTTCATCCAACGTGTCAAGGTCGAATGCCAATTCGGTCACCGGACTCAACAATGTCGTACGACATTGGATGCTGAATTTGGTATGGAGACAGCTAAAATATGCAGCAGTGGTAATTTATTAGATCGAATTTGGTATCTCGTAATCGTCTCCATGCCAAATGCAGTATCTGATACCATAGACAAGTTCCTTAAATTGGTAGTTAACCCCTACTCGAGACTATAAATCAAGTTACTGATGACCTTTTTGTTACAGATCTAGCATAGGGACACTGTTGCTGATATACTTCACACTGTCGATCGCCGCGGTCCAGTCTGACGACGCTGCTGCCCTCGAATGACTTCATCGATGTACATAAATGCGATAAAGACGCAGTAAACGACTGAGAAAACGCTCAAATCAATGATTACCCATTTAAAAAATCGAGCTGAAGGTCGTGCATTGTTCATGGAGGCTGCTGCTGCACAGGAGCACTACAAAGAGAGATGGAAGACAAAAGGACATGGTGATGAAGTCTGATATAAAAAAAAAAATGGAGCAAAGGAATAGGAATCTTCTTCTTTGTTTTATAAATATGAGAAAATAACATTTAGATTGTGCACATGGATGGAAAGCTCCTAGTTACTTACCTTTTGGGGTCTCTTTAGTTTATTCCCTCGTTCAAGTCGTCTAACCAACCAGCCCATCCCTTGGAAACCTCCTGAATTTTGTAATGGCTTCTTTTGGCGATCCCACTGAGAGGGCTGTCTTTGCCTTTAGCCCTGCTTTTTGTTTGTACATGAAAGCATCAATAGGCAGAGCATATTATTATTGTGCCACCGGCCATAGCATTAAGCTTTTGTAAAGGTGGAAAATGCAATTGAAATGAGCAAAAGCACAAGCACGCTAGTAAGGTATGTATGCAGCAGAGGATAGTGGGGAATACAGAGTTACAAGGGGAAGCCTAACAATAGATGTTATCATATGAATCCCTAACACTATTCAAGCAGAGGCATGTGCCAAGTTGCAGTAGTAGTCTTCAACTAAGGAAACAAAAAGGAAAGCATAAAGAGCCATCATATTGAAGCAAAAATGTGGAAACACAGATTTCAAGTTCATCCCAGAAATGGAAGGGGAAAGAAAGAGAACTAAATTCCCATCTCGAGAAACCACTTCCTTCATGCAACCGATCTGTTAGGCAAAGCAGCTTACTTTATTCTGCAAGTGGGAATCGAAAGTAGCATTTGTGTCTGACTGTGTGTGGCTGTGCAGTGGGAAGTGAAGAGAATGTTGGAACCCTAGTACAGTTTCGGAATCCTGACATGTTAAAAGGCCTTCAATACAACTGCTACAAACTTTTTTCAATTGCCCAAGGATATGGCTGTGAAGCTAGAAGAAGAGGCAGGTAGTCTCAACACAGGAAACAGAGGAGCTATCATGTTCAGGCAAAACTTGTATATGGACATGTTTCAATATCGAACTAGAAGTAGAAGAGTACTACAAAAATTCCCAGATCTCGAGAGATGCTCACCTTGCACTTTCAGTCATTCGATGAGGCAAACCAAATGCATATGCCACTATGTCCATCAGAAAAATTATCCCCTTTAAAGAACAAATATGTCCATCTCATTCACAAGCCAAGAATCCAACTTTCTTCCATCCAATGTAACATCGTCTGTATATATGAGAGTGTATGTGGCTGCTTACAAGGAAGTGAGGTGAACATGAATCCTAGTAGCGATTCAGAATTCACGACATTGAACATGTTTATCCTTTGCCATGGTAAGGCCTTAACACAACAAACGCCAACAATTTGGCAGTGGAGCAAGAAGAAGTGGGCAATGTAGCTAGTAGCTAGTTGCTAGTTGAGTAGTCACAACTAGGGGAATGAAGGTACCAGAAAGAGCCATCATATTACTTCTATAAACAGAATGGTCTTCATCAATTGATTCACAAGCCAAGTAGCTTTCTTCTGCAAGTGGAAACTCAAAGTAAACATCGTATGAATAAGAAAGTGAGTGGAGTATGAACTCTAGTAGCGTTTCGAAATCCTCGGCATCAAGCATCTGTTCTTCCTATCATGGTAGAGCCTCAGCACAATTGCAGCAGTTTCTTCAATTGCCCTCTCTGTCACTTCTGCATTTGCAGACCAAGACAATATTATCAGAGGAGGAACAGCAAAACATTAATATATCATACTACAGTTGCCCAAATCACATTAGCTACATTTACCAATCACTGGCCAAGCAGGATTCTGCGCAAAAACCCTGCCTGCATATTCCAATTCCTCCCTCACATGATCCATCTCAGCATAATTACTCCTCGTTTCATCGCTAAATCCCAGAGTCTTCGCTCTAGCTCTCCGAATCGCTTGCAGAACATGCTGGTTAATCGTCAGCCCGAACACCTTCTCAGGGTCCACTTCAAACAAGCTCCTGGGCAAGTCAACTCCATTAACCATAGGTACATTAGCTACTTTGTAACCTTTCTGAGCTAAGTAAATCGATAATGGAGTCTTCCCGGTACGGGAAACCCCGACGAGGACTATATCGGCCTTCCTCAAGTTCTGTGGGAGATTCCCGTCATCTTGCTTGATGGTGAATTCCACGGCCTCAATTCGCTGGAAGTATTCCTCAGATAGGGGAACGTTTCTCCCCGCGGCTCCACGTGGAATCCCCGACGGCGAGACACCGATGTGAGAAGAAATCGCCTCCGTGATTGGGCCTAAGATGTCCGTCGACGGAATACCCCAAATCTCGCAGGCTTTTCTCACCGATTCCGCCATGGATGAATCTGCTAGCGTGTAGATCACCAGCGCGCCTTCTTTGGCCGCCTGCTTCACGATCTCCATCAGCCGCTCCACATCATCGATCTGCAGCGAAATCCAAACCGCGAAGCATCTCGGGAATTGAATTGGCAGAATCGATCGAAACTTTGTACGAAAAACTAACTATGAGCAACAGTAGATTCAAATCTCCAATTACCCCGGAGAAGAGATGAGTATTGACGGGGCAACCGCGATCGACCAAGCAGTACTCGAACTGTCCCAGCGCGGCGTTGACGGAGTGCTCCGCCGTCCATCCAGTTCCGTCGGAGACCATGTAAATCGATTTCCCAACGGCGGCCTCCTCGTGGTAGTCATCATCGTCTCTTCTGGTCTTCGTCCTCCCGGCGCCAAACTCGAGCGATTCGCGGTCGTTGAGCTGATCGGCGGAGTCGACTCGGTCGAGGACCTCAGCTCGATGGCCAGGCCGTTCCAATTTGCGGCCGGAACGGATTGCTCGAGCCCTAGACCAGCGGTTGAGCTGAGCGCTGCCGCGGAGTTTTCTGGACGGTGAATTGGAGTCTGGTTCCGGGAAGGAACCTGTGGCGGGAAGAGGTAAGGAGTTGGGTTTGGAAGGGGCAGAGCGGTTGGGATTTGGTTCGGCGCCGCCGGGGGGGGAGGACGGCGGTTGCCGGAGGTTCGGGACGTTCAAGGCGGAAGAACAAATCATTTTATTCGATTAATTATTTTATTTGGGGAAGTTTTCTTCATTTTCTTGATTATAATATACGATTTCATCCGGTATAATTGGGCCAATTGGAATCTACTTCTGAGGCCCATTTCTATAAAATGCCCCACTCATAGTCCAACAAATCCTTGGTTTACGAATAAATGTTCACAGAGTCATTGCAGGCTTTTGCCCGGTGAGAGAGGCCCATATCTTGTTCTGACTCTAGCGCCATGGCCCAACCTGAAAACCAGTCTTACTATCTCTCCAATTTGGCCTCCAAAGTAATGTGTAGTAATTGTTTTCGAAACTTGTGTACTCTAGGAAATTTTCGAAGTTCGGATCAAATAAATTTTTAGTGTAGAATTCGGATAAAATTAGTGTATTAACCATTTTTATGAACTATCTCTACAATTATTATAACTAGCAACTATTTTGTTCTCTTAAAATGGAATTCACGTGGTAATCAACTTAAATATTAGGAAAGCAGCTCGGTCGTCTTTTGGGCATAGCTGTATACCAATTAGGCTACGATCCAACTGATTAAATTGAGATTAGTTTGCAATAACGTGATTCTTCGCAATCTCGAAATGCATAATGGATGATCCAATGACTATTACCGCGTTAATACATTAACTCATGTATGATTACCAAGTAGACTAGATAAATAACCAAAATAAAACTGACAGAAATCAATTAATCACTGCTATATATTGATCATCGACTGAGGTCCCAATCTTATATATACTTTCTCCAAACAATATAAGAATATAAATAAACAACATTTTCTTCTTTTTTTTTTTGTTTATTTTTTCCCCTCCTCTCACGCTCAATCTCCCTAGCTAGCTATATATTATCAAAACAAATGGGCAATCCCTAAATTGAATAAATATGATATCTACTTAATTTCCTTAATCATTAAATAGCGTTTACAGCGAATCTCGGAAGCCCTACTTTATATCCTAATTTCTGAACATCTTCCTGGACCTGTTGTCTATACTCTTTGAAGCTGAACCTCCTGTAGATCGACGGCTCACACCCGCTCTCGATTTCGGTATCGTACGACGGACAGAAGAAGTACGCCGTGGAGAATCTCTCGACGTTCGGGTTCGTCACCACGCGATGCTCCACGCTCTTGTACGCGCCATTGCTCCATGCCTGCAAAGAAACATTTGACCCACATGAGACGTTTGGTTCAATCTGGCAATTTCAAGACGCCCCGCGGATATTACTCGACCTGACTTGCAGTAACGTGGGGCGGGACATGGATATCTACTTTCGACCATCCTTGCCCCGCCTCGCCCCGTTCTAGACTCATTTATCTCAATTTCTTACAATATCTATACATATTTCTCCTATTTTGACTTTTCTTCAACTAGTGTCGATCTTTCAACTTGTTAGGCTCAATTATCCATTCTATTATCAATATTTTTCATTCTTAAAGTGTTTTTCCCTACGTTTTATTGTAAAAAGTAAAATTTACTTGTATTTTTTTGAATAACATGTAAGAGTGGGTCGACCCGCCTCGCCCCGTACCCGTGCGAGTTTTACCCACCCCGACCCATAGTAACGTGGGACGGGGCATGAGAATTGAGGTACCCGCCCCATTGCCATCACTAGTTCACTCGTGTGACAAACATAACCTAACTAAACAAAATGCCAACTTGCAATTTCATTTCGGGGTCAAAATCGTTATCCACCCATATAGTCAAAATCGTTATGTCACATTCTTATGGAATAAATTACTCAAGGCAAAAAAACATGCTGTTTCCAGCTAATTATGTTTACCTGGAACAGGTCGCCGATGTTGATGATGAGTGCTTGAGGATTGGGCTTGACGGCGAACCACCTACCGTCTTTGACCAGCTGGAGGCCGCCGACTTGGTCTTGGTGCAATATCGTGAGGAAGTCGCTGTCGGTGTGCGGCACCAGCCCGAAAACTTCCGCCGGGAAAGGACAAGGCGGGTACCTGTTCATCCGAAGGTAACAGGAGCTTGGCACGCAGTTCTCTTCGAAGAAGCTCGATTTCCTGCCCAAGTTCTCGGCCAAGGTTTCGGCTAGCTTCTGGGCCAAGTCGGCCACCGTCGTGGCAAATTGCTCAATCGCCGAGCTACACAAAAAAAAATCAACATGAAACGTTTCAAGCTCTAATTAGTTATATGAACAATGTACGGCTAGCTACTCGCCTACACACATTCAAAAAAAAATTCCACGTATTTCTAGCATTAATTATGGTGTGTGCGCGACTATCAAAGTCTGATTAAAATTGAGTCAGATAGATACTTGATATGCAACCGGGAATGAACAACGATATTGGCGAGTATAGAAGACAAACTGTGAGTGTAAATGTGTTCGACTCATTTTGCATTCGAGAGTTCATGTTTTCGTTCTCTCCAAGTCGAATGAGTGTGTTTCTCCTTCAAAAGGAGCTTTGTAAATGAATAGTCTAAACTCTAAAGCATTGGTGGAGCTACATGTTGTGGGGAATTCAGGGTCCTTTGTACTCTACTTGATTGGAAACCGAAACACTACCAATTCTACCATTTGGAACACTTACTATATTTGATCGAACTTCCAACCCCGTACTTTAATACAAGACTAGATCTAATACTGAAAACGTTATCCCTTATGGAACGAAAATACTCTCAATGGTGAAAATCCTGATTGATCAGCCTATCCAAACGATCAGCAGTTTTAGGAGTAGAACCTAACAATGATGTGGAATGAGGACATGGATGGATAGCTTGCTAGCCTACCCTAACCAAACCAAACCCCCCCTAAAATTAGGTAGAAGTAAAGGCTATGGCCTTCCAAAGTATGAGGAGACTAGGGCCCCTCAACAATGTCAGTTACAGTATTTCTTCAGGACAGCTATTGGTAGTTGTGTACATTTGGTGAACGGAGGACACGATAAGGTTCCATGAACAGTAATATTCCACACAAGGCGAAGAAGACAGGTCAGGCAAGAAGAGTTAGTTGGCCATGGCCATGGCCACTTTGGTATTCACGTGACGATGAGAAGAAGAAAGTGGGCTAGGCTAGCTCAGCTCGAAAAAAAAGCCGTAGCATGCATGCAGGAAAAGAGGGAATCAAGTGTACGTATCAATAGTTTCTTCGGCCCAATATCTTATTATTATTCATTATTGGGCCGAGCTGTGTGTCTATCTTCCTTCGGTTGCTAGCTGTCTCTCTGTACTCTCCAGTCAGAAGCTTTGTTTGGGTGGAAAACCAAAGAGGAGAAGACGTCGTCGTCTTGTTTGACCGGGTCCTTTTTGTCTTCCTCAAATGTGGGAGGGAAGAGTACTGGACGCGTGGCACTAGCCTTGTGACAGTTACTTAAACTACGTGGCCCCTTACACGAGCTAGCGTACCAATGTGGTCGTTGTCCTAATAATTGGTCCAGCTTGTGACACTTACTCAACCTACCTACATCACACATAGGCGTGGCTATACGGTCCGGTCCGGTTAAATTGGATCAAATTGATCCAGTTCCGGTCCGGTCTTTTTTGGAATATAAGGACCAAAGATTGGATTGGATACACTCCGGTCTTGACCCGGTTCGGTCCCAATTTGATTTTGATTTTCGATTGAGCTTGTGGGGATTTGAGTGTTGAGGTCTCTTATCTGGTCTTTATCCGGGTTTTTTACCTCAAATCTAAGGCCGAATATGAGATTTGATTGATTGCTATCCGGTCCCAGTCCAGTCCCGGTCCGGATTATACGGTTCGGTTTTGGGTAAAACCAAACAGTCCTGGACCAAATTGTCAGTCCTAATCACACATGAGTCATTAACAAAAGGAAAAAAATGACATCTTTCAAGATCTACACATACAACGCTCAACTTTATAATTTTAATGGAGTTCGGTTCGGTGTATTAATGTTGGTATGTGCTATTCTTCATTGTATGGTCAGTATAGAGGGATCGGCTTAATTAAAATTGGGAGAGGGATGAAATGTCGCCTATATGTGGATAGAATGTGAACATGTAAGAGGCTAGACCCTGGAGTCTGCGACTCTGCGCGTGTGCTATCAAGGTTGGCGTTTCACACCTAGAATTTTGGTATTAGTGTGTTTTTTCTTCTTCTTCTTTTGTGATGTGATGGGAATATCCTGACACTAGAGCTACCAAAAAATGATCGTTCAGGCATAATTTTTTTTCATTCTCACCACCACACACCCAGAAAGCAAAATAAATCTTGTGTTCTCTAAATAATCCTGCTTACACATACATGATCGGGCAAGTTTCATCTGAACGATGAATTTGGTCGATAAGTCAGAAGATTTCTCCTCATGAACACGAGAATTTAAAGTTTTCCATGACCGATTAAGAAATGTCAAGTTTTCCATCTCGTTTTTTATCTTTCGAAATTTAGAATTTGAAGAGGAAGAAGAGAATGCTAGCTGTTGATTACCAAAGTGACTGACTTCTTCCCCTAATCACCCAAGGAGACTTCTTCCCCTAATCACCCAATTAACTAATTAACAACGTATGACAGTAAGCAAACCCAATTCAGACAACCAACTCTTAATTGGTTCCCCCTTCAATACAGCACGAAACAATAAATTAAAGGCAAAACACGGTATTGACACGCGCGTATTTTATAATTTTGCACATGTCCTACGTACCTGAGGCTATTGAATGAACCGCCACCCACGTCGTCGAACGAAGTCGAGATGTCGGTCATTGGAATATGGAAAGCCTCCGACCAAGCCAGCTGCCTGAGACATGTCGCCGTCGGCGTGCCCCACCGGTAAGTCCCCGCCGAGAACTTGTCCTCCTCCTTCTTCCTCTCGAACGGCTGCTTGAACACCTTCATCTGCTCCTTCCTCATCCTGTCCAGAATCTCCCGCGAGACGCCGTGGTTCACCACCTGGAAGAACCCCCATTCTCTGGAGGCTCTCGCCATCTGGTTCTTGCACTGCTCCCTCTCCAGTGGACCTCCGGTCACCAGTGGCTGGAGGTCGATGAGAGGGAGCTCGCATTCCTCGATGATGTTTGACACGACTGCCGTGTCAGAAAGAGGAGGAGCAGATGAATTTTTCATCTGTTTCATCTGCTTCTTTTTGTCGATGAGGAGGTCCTTGTAGGCCTCGCGGAAAGGAGGGTCTATCTCCATGCTCCCAGCCTGAGAGGAAAGGGGGGAAAAAAGGGAAGACAAGTGGGTTTATAGATTATCTTTTTTGGTAGTGAGTATAGCAATGTAAATGGCTAAGTTTGTGAATAAAGCAAGCGTAAGGTATATATAGAGGGATATGGGAATATTGGAGGGAGAGGTAACTGGAATTACGTGGCATCGATGAAAACTTAGTGTATCTTTATTTGGGGGGTTCTCACACTCGAATAAATATCGACTCCTCTCCTTAATTATAATGTTTGTGAAGATATTTTTTAAAATATTTCATAAATATATGATAAATCTACAACACTTTGATTGAGCATACTCGGTATTTGTATCACACAATCTTTTTTATTTTTGTCATCTTGCCAAATTTAAAACTATCTTTAACTATTATCTGAAACCTTTAAGTACATTGATATGTAGGATTGTTTGGGATCATAAGCCGTTTGTTGTGACTTGTGATTCTATGAATACGTGATTTTCGACCCACTCATCGTTTGTCTTGTTCAATTTTATACAAAAATTAAGTATATTGTCATTGTGCAGACAGTACGTGGGGTATAGCGCTTCAGGTGATTTGGTTTTAAGAGATAGTCTGACTAGGCGGAGGATGATTGCAGGGAAACAACCGTCTTTCTTTCTTCTAAGTTGTAAAGAGTAGATAGTACTTTGTCACTTTTTAGATTTAGATTGTTTGTGCTTAGTAAAATTTGATTTAACCATAAAAAAACATATGTATTATTGTAATGCATGAAATGACCATGCATATTTTCTGAAAATCCAAAGGGTGGTAGAGAAAATCATGCTAATAATATGCCCATTGTGAAAATTACATCTAAAATACAAATAAATTGTCAAAATTCATAGATACTTAGAGAACTAATACCAATTAAATCATGTGACCTTTGGGGGCTTTGGGAGTGTTTTTGCGGTTTGCTAATTCCCTATATATTTTCCCCCATTGTTGATTGGGACAAATTAGATGGCCATAATAAGATGCTATATAAATGGTGTGAAGAAGTAACCAAGAGAAGTAACAACCATGATCCATGCTAGCTAGTGATTCCTCATTTGTTGTGATACCGCGTTTAGTTTCTAGCTAGTACATAGCTCATAATTATAATATACACTGTGGATAATATAAATTAATTTCCATTAATTCCAGTGGAAACCCAATTAAGTAATCGAGATTTGGAGTATATGGTAATCACTAATCACTATAACCTAAGAAATACTAGTTAGGTGTGTGTTTTCCGGTCAAACTTTTGAGATGATTCCGAAAATGCAAATATCTAGCAAGTTTGGAGCACATAAAAAAAAATATCTAACAAATATGTGAGAGTTCATTTCTAGATATTTTTCTCTTGTTCTAATTTTCTCATTACGCCTAGGAGTAGAGAAATTTTAATACTATGTTGGTTGGTAATTGGTATATGATTCGTAGATGAATCTCTTTTAATAATTCAAATTATTAGGATCAGTTAGTTCTTGATATAGTATTAAAATCTTATGTTTAAATCTCAATAACCTACATACCTTTTGTTAAACACATAATATTCTGAATCTAGCAAAAAGTCCATAGGAATGACAACAAGCACTATTGATATTACGGCATTGCAGTAAGGTCGCGAAATCAGAAACCTATAATTAACTTTAACCTGCACTTTGAAGATTGCATTTCAAGGATGACTTTATATGTGTGCTTTGATCCCCTTTCTTTCTCTTATCTTCTCCGCCTTTACCAATCAGGAAAACTAAAAATCTAACTGTACAAAGACACACTCTCAGTGCTCACCTGGCCTAATTAGTACTAGGCTTCTTGAGATTTTGGAAAGGAATCTAGAAGTAAATTCGTGCGGGTTTGGTTCAAAGCGAACAATATCGTACTAATGAGCCTACACAATTTCAACAAGTGATATCAAAGTTTGATTCCGATCCAAGGAGGTGAACTTCAGCTTCGTGGACCCTCATCCGATGACCTCGGGATCCGTGTTTGTTTGGTGGATCAAGAAAGATTCACATTTGTCTAACAGATCAAAGGAGATCCGTGTTTGGTAAACGAGGCATCTTTGGGAAGCAACTCAACAATAAATTTGTACAAATTTGTGCAGATTTTCACTCAAATCAAACAGTATCGTACTAATTGACATCTCCAATCTCGACACTAACTATTATTTGTACCGCATAACCTTCACCACAAAGATTACGAGATTCAGTTCTCCTAACCTCATCACCCATATAGCAAAGCTATTATGTGTATAGCACAAAACCAACGTTGGACCCAGGGAATGAAGCTGTCAATTTAATCATTCTGAATGAGAAAAAGGTGCCCAGATGGCCACTTTACTTGCCAAATTCACCTTCAATTAAAAAAAAACTTTCGGCCAAACCCATTGGCACACATACTTCCACAAAATCAACTTATGCAGTGGCCATCACCGAAGTCTCATTTGCATTTTGGGTAGTGGGTCTCACTCATTAATCACCATGTAATTCTAATCATTATTATGACTTTATTATCGACGAATCACATAACAAAACAAACGTGATAAATGACGAATATAGTAGGCCTAATTAATCTCAAAAGGGTTCAAATCAAAACTTGGTTTGCACTTGTTTTATATCAATTAACTAGTAAGCAAGGGGGAAAAGGGGGGGATGGGACTTGACCTAGGAATTAATGACTATGTATATGAATGATTAATTATCCAACAATGTGTCCCTATAAAAGTATAAATACATACGAATGACAAATGCATTGGCTCGTAGTATAATTTGACTCAATTGTTACGACTTATATTGTATTAGCTAGATTGGATTCAAAAAAAATTTAACCCAATTACACATTTAATGTTGATGTTTCTACCTTTTTATTTGTTACATAAACAAAAATGCATAAATTGCATTAGAATCAAATATTTATTTCCTCTTTATACCCAATACTATAGATCTAATTAGATCAAAACCAAAAACCTGGACATGAAGATACCCAAAAGTGAAATTACCCAAATCTTACTTAACACATGATAAATTGGGATTAGACAATACTAAAACATGAATTTTTTTTTTTTTGTCATCCCTATAAATAAACAGCTAGTAGCTATCTAGCTGAATGGTCATATGATAGGTAAAGGTTATTTTCATTAATTGTCATTTTCTTTGTACGTTTGTACTTCATAATAACCTTTAAGAGCTAAAAGTACAATGGTATATCTTATACAAATATTTCTTTTTATTTTATTTTACTATAAGGGTAACATTTGTTATTTTTTGTATTTAGGTGTTGACAAAGGGATTCATATTTGGGTTCTTCATGTTCAAGATTGGCGGTATTACAATTAGATCAATCCTTGTTCGCGTAACTTACCTCATTTTTTGTTACGATCGAACCCATACCATCTCAACTTTTCGGATTTACCTTAACTTCAATGAAGATTCCCTTACGGAAATAAAATCGAAAATCGGGGAGATCACTATTCACTAATTAATTTCTGTAGACATGATTAAGGTGAAGTACTATGAAATATCCAGCTTCGGTGCTAACGTAGAAGATGTACTGCAAAAACTGAGAGAGCAACCAAACCAAAGATTTTTGGCATAGAACAAAACGATGATCGAACTCTTTTTGTCTCTCTCATATGAAACTACTTTCCTTTTCCTTCATTCACAAGGGATGAGCTTTAGACTTCCCATGAAGGATAGTGACAGATAATAATAATATTTATTAACAATAATTAAAGAGCTGTAACTAAAGTTATAACCGCGCTTCTAGACGGTTTATCGTCTGTTATTACTATAAGTGCTGTGTTAATTAATGATTAACAGCTGCTGGATTATCTCATAAGAGATCCAGCTACGGTATGGGTTTTCTTCAACGAGGCGCAAAAGGGTAGGTTAGGTACGTAAACCCTAGTAAGGGTATGTGTTCACTTTTTAATTACAACTAAATTTAGTTTTGCTTATTCAAATTTTAAATTATTTCAATTTAATTGGATAAAATATGCTTTTTGTTAGACATTCATACTCATTTTCTTATTCATTTTCGATATAAATACTCACAAATTTCAGGCTAAAAAGGGAAAACAAATAAATCAAAAGGAAACCAACATCCCAAATTGACTAATATTATATCTCTGAACATTCATGTGCGGCTTGGGTGTTTGACCAGCCGAATTTTCTAATTACACTCAAGTTTTATATTATTATTATTATTCTTATGAATTTTCTTTTTATTTTCTTTCATTTAATATTGGTGAATTCTGGTCAACTGTCGATTGACCGACCAAGACCCATATGTCCAAGGTATCACTGTCCCTCACTCGGACATGTATTCGAATTTCAAAGCATTGCATGGGAGAACAGATCTTTTCAGCACGTATATGTTTTTACAAAAAAAAAAAAAACAGTTTAAAATATAGTAAAGGAGATGGGAATTAAATTATTCATTAACACCCTTCATAAGTTATGTTTCATACTTTAATGCTATCTAGTATCTAGGGTTACCTATTAGAAAAGAGCGGGTTATAAGAAGTTCATTTCGAGATCAACAAAAACAACATAATTATCTAAATTTTACACAAACTTATGGTAGATTTTCTAAAACAATAAAAGGGCAACTCAACCACATCACAAAAGAGTAATCATAACGTAATAAAAAGTCGAATAAAAAAAAATAAAGCAGACGATTACAAGTTGATCGAAAAGGAATGGATCAATCTAAAGCGAACTGTTGTGATGGAAAATGACGAACCACCAACCCACCAGCAACGACATCAGTGTTTTACCCTTTAGTTATATTCATCACTTAATTTTGTTACTCAAATCGTCTACGAATTCTGTTTAACTCGAAACTGATAATACGCAGGATATTTTTTTTCCCTGCGAAGGAGGGCCACATGGGGTGTGTTGTTAGGAGATCCATACATATGGTGCAATGTACATAGTTGATATAGGTACTCAGAATGAAAGAGAGAGAGAGAGAGAGAGTGTGTGAGTTGAGAGCACGAAGAGGGAGCATATGCAAAAAGATATAGATAGTTGTCTCCTTTCTTTTACTTACCTGATGGTTCATATTGCTCCTCGAATCCACCTTCTCGACCATGGAATTCCGGCGTTGTGTGAGACTGGAATGATAGGCTAGCTGCTGGCTACTTGTACTCTCTCTACTCCAATCCTTTTGCTAATCCTCTTGTCTCCTGAAATCGAATGGTTCGTTAGGTCATCGTAAGATGTTAAACTGTGTTCTCTTATGTACCACCGAAGATTTTGAGGCAATATTTTCACCCAAAAAAGGGAAGATTTTAGTGAACAGTTGATGCCAAAAAGTTTTAAGGGTAACATGTATTCAAACTAAGTTTTCTACCTTTTGTGATTAGAGTTAGACTGTTAAATGCTCGATTTTTGAACGGAGTAATTTTAATGGAATATGATACAAATGAATATGCATCATGGTAACTACTAATTAAAGAAGGAGACTAATGACTTTGAAACTAAAAGACTCACTTTATGTGGTATCCGTATTCAACCATATGATTCTTTGTTGCTCCGTCTTGTTGTAGAGTTCCAGATACGCATTTGTATGACAATGGATATCAAAAAAATAATTCATGTGGTATATTTAAAATTCATTTACTTTGTTCGATCTTGTGGCAAATTCGTTCACGTTCTATGTCATCGTAACGAACACGTTCATGGATCATGCTTGTCTACACTTATACATCTGTGTACTATGTCGTGCATCTTTTATGTATAGCATGTCTATTAAAAGGTACATCCAAGTTTCTCGTTATAAGGGTTTGTCCGTGATTAGTTGATTAGTAAATACATTTTGGATGACTCGCCTGTTATGTAAACTTAACACTTTCTCGTTTTTAAGTATTGGATTTGATTCAACAATAATCTCCACTTTCGTCTAAGTTTTCTTTTTTCGATACATATGTGATTAGTGGTTTATTGGGTTAGATACTAGATAGAGAGACATGGACAACAAAATCAGTAACATGAGCTGAATTTGAGCAGAACCGCTAACACAAAATGATTATATAAATGGACAGAAAACTGTCCAAGGAAGAAGATAGGCAAAGTAGACTTGAGAGTTATAATTAATTACCTTGAGACCTTCAACTTTCTGCCGATAATAGCAAGAGCTTGGCCGTGAAAAGACAGAGCTTTTTGCTATGGTGGGAGGAAAAGCCTAGGCAAATAGGGAAGGGGTAAAGGAGGTGATTGTGAAGGGAGAAAGAGGCGCACAAGAAATATAGAGGAAGAGGGCACATGTATTTATAGGGTAAAAGGAGCCCCAATACATCATATGATAATAATAAAAAAATTTAATTATTAGTCTAAATTCAATTGTATTCATTTTATATGAGGAAACACAATATTCCTTTGCATGTTTTAACATGAGGAGCCTCATCATAAACAAGTAAATTATATGAAGATGACCTTCCAAATATCTACATTAATGGTTCTTTCAAAAGAAGAAAAAAAAGTCTTGGATAATGAAGAATAAGTTTTGTATAGAAATAGAATATTTCATTAATTTATAAACCCTGTGAGTATATTGTTCTAATATCAAGGGAAGATGCAGTCTTTTATTATTTATTATAAGTTGATATATTTTATTTTTTAGTTAGGGGCTACTTCACCTGAGTACTCCAGATTCAAGACCAATAAGACTTTAACACGACAAAACTTTCTAACGACAAGTAGCGGGAAGAAGTGGCAAACCTTCGTCTGCAGTATCTTTCGTTACTCCGAACGTAGGAATGGCAATGGGGCAGGTCCGAGGCGGATATCTCGATACCCATACCCGTCCCGTGGCAGGTCGGGTTCGGTTCGGGTAATTTATCATGGGGCGCGGGTCAGGGCAGGTTGACCCATTAGGTATATAAATTATGCAAAAAAATATTAGAATTATTCGTTATTTCAATTAAAAGACCAAGAAAGAAACCATAATTTGATAAAATGTAGTTAAATTATTGGAGAAATTGAGTTTTTCACTTATTTACAACTTTATTATACCTAAAATATGATGTAATAAGAGGAAAATGCTAAGTAATTTGACTAAGATTACATTGAGCTTAGGCCAGAACGGGTCAAGAATGGGGCGGGTCAGGGCAGGTCAACATTGTTAGTTGCATGTAAATAAACCATATAGACACATATACACATGCTAGTATATAATTATAGCTTTTACAAATCAAATAAAAAACGCCTTTTTTATCAACTCCTAATATTATGGATTTATGTTCCTAATTGTCATATGATTAAACAACTTAATCCGACAGTGAAATTAGTTTTTCTGTCTAAAACAATATGTAACAATTTACAACTCTTGGTTGGGGTTTTGCGTAACGCCTAGCATGCTTAGGTGTTTGAAGAAAAATAATATTTTTTAGTAGAAATAAACATCTTATAGCACTTTTATACTTAGGTTTCAAATGATTAATAACGAAACTAACCCTTAACAACATGCAAAATATGTCATGATTTTGTATAATCACAAATTAACATAAAGTTAGAAACAAAAGTCCATAGCAGCTACAAGTTTATAGAAATGAAGAAGTGTTTGCTCTAATGGCAATACCACTATTTTTGAAATCTGAAGATCACATATTCGAATTATTCAAGTAGTACCTAAATCACCAAAAAATAAACATACATCATCCCTATAAAAAAAAAAATATAGTAAGCCCTTAAAAAAAGTTACCTCTTCACCTTCATCATCATATCAAAAGCAATCTCCTCGTCATCCTCCTCATCAGACTCGAAATGAATGAGCGGTGTCAGAATGAGAAGCAACTTCCTAGTTACCTAGACCTATATATGATTTTTATTCCAAATTGAGAGAAAGACCAAACGCTCATCGTGGATAGTTTGAGATGGCGGGAAAGGGAACTTCCTCTTATTCCCTTCTCTTGGTCCACCAGTTGCGCTAAACGGCTCCTCCACTCCAGTCGCCTAATCACGTCTTAAGGAAGTAAATCATGCTTAGATTATGCCATCTTGAACGATGGTATTCGAATTCTAATCAACTCCCTCGTTTGCCCTTAATAATGTGCGGTAGTTGTAGAAAGGGAAATAAGTCGTATGACAAGAGAGAAAGAGAGACTAAGAACAGTGTCTGAGTTTCTTTTACGCATCAAATCTACCATCAATCGCATTGCGATTATGCATTTTGGTTGGGCCCTCAGCTGTCTTCACTAATGTAGAGTTCGTACTCATTTTTTCCATAAATGGGTTGGGAGACATTTGGCCATGGGGGAAGAGATAAGGCAGCAGAGCTTGGAAACCCATAGACTTGGAAGCATAACAACCAAAAGATTATCGTGAGAAAGAAGAAAGAAAGAAAAAAACAGAGAGGGTGACTCGCTGGTTCATTCTGCACCATTTGAGCCCCATAGATATTCTTCGTTCAGTTGCTTTTGTTCATGAATTTGAGCCCAATTCCCATTTCCATCACTTCAGACGTCAAAAAGGAGGAGGAGGGAAAAAGAAAGAAAGAATTTAGAAAAACAAATAAATATAAACCGTCCCTCCTCTATATACTCTCTGTTCCCAAGTCACTGTGCTCTGTTTTTGTTGTTGTCTCCCTCTGTTTCTCGCTATCGATCGATCGAAATTCGAACCTCACTGAAAGGAAAATCAGGGCAAGAAAACGCCATTATTGAACAGAGGAACACATGATTACCAATGGACCCAACTGTAACTGTTGAGTCCATGTCGGCAATTACGTGGCAGCAGCTGGAGTCACATGCACACTTATTAGGTAGGAAAACTTCAGCTGGTAAATTTGCAAACTGGGGTTGAATCCCCTGTTTTACATATGTTACATATGGGAGGTACGGTGACACCCTCGTCTAGGGGCATTTGTGGTGGATTTTCAAGATTGCATTTTAGATCTTGGATGAATGTTTCAAATGTTTTCTCGACATATAAGCATCCACGTCAGAATCTCAAATTAAGTATTTAGAGGGTTGCATACCCTTCTGAAATATACGTAACTCCACTTGAGTATGAGACTGGGAGCGAGTAAAGTAAAATCAAGACGATTAAAAAATATTGTCTGGTAGATACTTATTTGATTTGAATATTTAAACATGTTGGTTCTTCATATGAAATCATATATAATTTTCACAAAATGTAATAAAATGAACTTCGCCATAGTTATTTTGTCTAAATTCCAAGTCAAATTTAGTTGGAATCAGCTAAGTTAAGTAGATCTCCTTTGTTGATCTGCAAAAAAAAAGGGTGATATCCAAGTTGAACCATTCGCACCAACATGAACAAACAAAATGACGACCTTTATCTGACATATAAAATACAGAATTACGAATTCTGTCAGTATCACAACTTCACTTCAAACTAATCAATCATAAAAGGAAAGCAGTCGATAGTAATAAACCATAAATACATTATATCGTACAGTTATTATACTATATACCAAAGTTATCCACCAGACTTCACAGATAAATTTCATTTACAGTTTTGATCAAATATAGATTCATACTTCAACGAAAACTCATTTCCCTCAATAAAAAGAACGAGAACTCATTACTTTAATACCATATCAAACATTTCATTAAAAAAAAAATTTGAATCTTGAGATTTTTCATGCGTTTGTTGCTGCATGTGCAATGCTTTGAAGCAAAACGACAGTGGCACCAACACGCTAAGATTCATGCCGTTTTGTCTTAACAAACAATGCCTCTCCATCAATGGCCTCTGCAAAAGAAAAGAAAAATATCTGAAGGACATGCTCATTGTTTCGCCCTTTTGTTGGACATCAGCATATACACATATAGATCTCTGCTAGCTACTATAGAAATGGAATGCCAAAACCTATATATATATATATATATATATATATATATATATATATATATATATATATATGTTATCAAGTAACATGGCTCTGCTCCAAATTTCACATATAAAATAATGTTATCATCGTAGTATGAACGAGACGGCAATATATTGGTCTTCGAGGTGATAGTGGTTATTCGTTATCCTACTCTGACTGTTTCGAGTTTTATCCATTCTCATGGTAGTATAAGATTCAAATAGTAAACTGTGTCCATATTCGATCGGATTTTGGATAGCACAAATAGCAGACTTCCCCTTAACTTGGTCTACAATCATGGATATATAATCTCGTGAATCCAATTTAATAGGGTAAAATATCCATGGTTGTGAACATATTTGAAATCCCTAGCAATTTACAAGGTTCAAGAAGGCATCAGAAGCCAGGCGACTGTCAAAATAACCATTTGTATTAGATGGTGAGTGAAAAATTGCTTACAAACAATTTTTGAGCTGATCAACACTGTTGCCAACCCAGCTTTCATATCAAATCAGGCCTTTATCAAAAGTCCAAATGTATACGAGGAATTTTACAAAGCTATATAGCATTTAGTGCTATAGGTTTTTACCTTTATGGTACAACTTGAAATTGTACCTTTAATGTTATGATACAACTTCAGATTGTACCTATACTTTTTGTACAAATTCTTTTATGGTACAGGTTAAACTTGTACCTTATGTGATGGTACAACTTCAAGTTGAAAAGTTGTACCACAACATAATGATACAAATTCCTTTATGGTACAACCTAAACTTATATATTTAATGTTATGGTACAATTTCAAGTTGTACATTAAAACACCAATACTATATAGCATAGTAGAACTACTCAACGTATACACCCGCAAAAGCTTGTGATAATGCCCTAAAACCGAAATCCATTCATCATTATGTTATATTATTTGTTGCTCTACCGACGGCCACGTAGACAGCATATATATATAGCTGAGGGCAACAAGTCCTCTCTATATAGTTTTGTTGCGCCCGAAAATTGTCGGCACCAGGGTCCTATTCCTATAGCTAAGTTAATTCCATCTTTTTACTATAATAAAGAGATCTTAATTATAATGATTAAACCACCATTATGTATAGGGAATTTAAGACAAGGCCACCCAAGATGTACGTAAGAAACTTAACATGGAGATTGATTCTCAATTCATTTTAGAGGTTGTTGACGAGTGGTGATCAATTAATTACTTTAGATAGAATGTGTTTATGGGCAGTAATCCGTTTATACAAATAATTGGAGTTATTAGAAGATACCCAATAATAAATATTAACCACTATTTCCTTTTACATATATATCCCTTAAATGAAAGTCTACCTGATAAAGTTGAAGTTTAATTTGCACAAATATAGCATATACTATGCCCTAGTTCTTCCCCAATTTATTGAAAGAAGTATACCCATTTTCGAATGGATTAGAATAGGAATAACAAATACCTTGGGTAATTTTATCTAAATTTAGGTACTAAATTTAAAGGTATATTCATTTAAGATACCAAATTGTAATTTGCATATGGGTACGGCTGGCTACAAACTCAAATTCATGTATTAAACATTCAACCCGACCGAACTAAATAAATGGGTATGACGATAATTTGTCAAACTCTCCTTATTTACCTTGTATTTGAATTTCCAACCCAATTAA